CACGAGGTCCAGGAAAACGGGTCGGGAGGGAGAAGAAAGGAGGAAAGGGGGGCTGAAAAAGAGACACCCCCGTGCACTATGCACGGGCGAGCAGCCTCGTTCCCCAGGCTAATCGGCACCCCTGCCTTTGCCCCCCGTTTTATTCTGATTTTATTCGACCTTCCCCCCTCCGGAGCCGATGCGCCTCTACCTCCGCACCCATCGGTATTTTATTTCTCCTCCCCGACGCATTCAGCCCTCCTCTCCCTCCCGCGGCTGCCTGTAGACCCGGGTTTTGTAGCTTTTTTTTTAAGGCGCCATGTTTATAATCCTCCATCCTATTTTAAAAAGAAAAAACAAGAATCCTCCCCCCCACCCCCCCCGACCCCCGAGACGCCGCCTCTCCCTCCTTGCCCCCCGTCCCTCCCTCTCGCCCTCCTCCCTCCGAGCCAGGGAATAAAAGACACGCAGGATTTGCACCGGGCAGGGATTGCAAAAGTCGTGCTTTCCCGCTGGCTCAGTGTCGGCCCCTTCCCACCCGCCACCCCGTTTCCCTTCTTCCTCCTCCCCAGACCGAAGCGGGGGTCCCTCACCTTGCGCGGCGGCGTCTCTTGCAGTTGCAGATTCTGCAGGCGGAGGAAGAGAAGTTCACCCGGGCGAAAGTTTGCAATCCTTGCTCCAGGCCGCGGCTCCCTCCTCCGCCTGCTACATATTTTCTCCCCCCATCAGAGTTTTATTGTGTCTGAAATTTTTTTCCCTCTCTCTCTCCTCTCTCCTGGCCGTCTGCACACTTCTAGCTTTCTGGGGTAAACAGGGTTTAGGGATACAGCCTCGGATCCTTGGAAAAAGGAGAACTCTAGTGGCGCCTGATGGAGTTGCTGGGGCTTTCTTCTTTCTTTTTCGTCGCCGCCCCCCCCCCCCCCCCCCCAAATGCCGCGTAGAGATACGGGAGGTAATCTAGAAAGGCGATTTTTTCCAACTATCGGAACGATCTGTGCGGGTTGCAGTAGCATAGGCGTGCAACGTGAAGAGGTGGCGGGATGGCGGTTCGTCGGAGCGATGTTTGTTCGTTTGCTTCTGCCATCATATTTTGGGCGTCTTTTTTAAAAATTACAATCGCATTTCCGTGATCTCAACATTATGAGAAGAGAGGACTTGTGGAGGCAGTAAAGAGCTGTAATGCATGTTGGTTTGCCTGTGACACAGAACTAACCAGGATCACTTGATTGCTAAGTATAGCATGCGTTGCACTGATCGGTTTCTCATATCTGCGGTGGACGGTAATTTTAAAAAAGGCTAAGGTGATCATGAGGCATTAGCAAACTTGACCAGCTAAAGGGTTACAGTAATTAAAATGATGCAATCGATCCATGATTATATTCCAAGTGCAGTAATCCCGTGCGTTTGCAAATCTATGAATATTTTCTGGAAATACATCCCGAGGGATCCAGTGAATCCTGAAGAAACATATGAAGTAACTGCACAGGAAAAAAAACCCCTGTATTCTGTGATTCCTCCATTTGACAGAAGAAGAGTTGCTTGTGAAATTTCTTTCACAGGAAAAAAATTTGGGTGAAACTCCTGGCATGTTGTTTTTGCACTTCCGTAGTTACAGGTGGCCAAGAAGTGTGCGTAAAGGCTCTCTTCCACTGAACAATCATTCCCTGCCTGCCTATAGCCTCCCTAGCTGTGTGCACTTCCATTTAATCGAAAGGAATTGAATTAATTGAATCATGAAGGAACTCCTCCTATGGGCCTTTTTCAAATTGCAGTCAAGGAGGCTGCAAAGGGATGGAAAGATAGGAAAATTATGGCACTCAGCCTTTAGGTTAAAAAAAAATATGGAAGCCTCTTTGACAAGGATAAAGAACTAACAAAACTACGAAACTGGTTTTGGCACGGTGATAATATACAGGTTTCTAAAATGGTAGATGGGTTTTCCTGTTGCACACACAAAATGTATGATGAGGTTGGCTTCTTAATTGCACTGTTAATATCCTATGCATTTTGAGTCACTGTGGTGCTGAATTGCGGGACTGCCATGCAAGGCTCACTTTCTAGGTTGAAAATTTATAAACTTTTGGTCTTTTGGGGGGGGTAAGATGTTAATTAAGCAGAAATAGCATAAAAGCTACCATTTTAAAATGGGGTGTTTGATATTTTTGAGAACTGAGCCAATATCAAGACTAAGTTCAGTTTATAACTAGGTGGAATACAAAACTGGATTTAAATGTCTGGTGCAAAACGACTTTTAAACTACTAGGTTGATTTCTTTTGAGTTAAAAGTCAAGGTAATCTTAGTTGGTTAACCAAACAAATCGTAACTGATTCAGTAACCAGTTAGTCATGATTCTTGCATAATCTGTAAAATGTGCAAAAATAATAGTCATGAAGCAAAAATTGATGATTTGTTTTCAGATTTTATAAGCATACACAAAAGGAAGTGTATTCTTAGAAGGTGGATCCATCCTGGCTTAATAAGAAAGGGAAATGTCTTTATTAACATAATATTTCCTATCTGCAGTTGTTGTTAATCCCTCCTATTACTAGGTTATCTTTGTAGTCCAGCCAATCATGGAGATCATATAGATCAGGGTTCCTCAACCTCAGCAACTTTAAGATGGGTGGACTTCAACTCCCAGAGATGGCTGGCTGGGG